ATATCCGGTCTGTCCATGTGGTGCATATTTGTAGGGCTGCATATCGTTTGGCATCCCTCCCTCACCGTTATCCTGAAACTGTAGAACAGACATATCAAGGCCGGATATTTGCAGGCTGAATTTCCACCCAACAAAGGTAATCATTGTCTCAACCCAAGTTATTAGTATACCGAATTTGCGGAGTAGTCATTAACTTAACCCCGTAAATCCGCGTCAAAAATACAGCTGTCATGCAGGTGGTCACGCGCCCCGGCTCTGCCGCTTGGAGAATCAATGTGCTAGAGGGCCGATCCCGGTATCTGCGTGCTGTAAGCAACTCTAGAAAAAAGGTACGGTCGGCAGCCTTGCGAATAGGTGTTTGCTGTTGGTGAAGAGGAGAACCTTTTCAAACTGTTTACCATTACACGATTCTTCTTTATATCCAGGCCTTTAATGTGCGCTTTTTCATAATGCTGTGAACAAAACGTAAATGATAAAAGACTACATCATCATTGTGAACGATGGCCAAGTGGTGTGGCTGCGTTGAGAGGGATGTAGCTGTGACGGGATTTGACGGGGTATTGGGGATAGAGTTCTGAGGAGTTATTCGGGTATTAGGGTTATTCGGGTATTTTCAAACAGGATCTGGACGTCGGTATTTTTGACGCATTCTTTTCTCTGCTCGAAACAAATGACGGTATTCTGTTCACGACGTTGTTTTGAAACAGTAGCTTCAGCTCGTACCCAACTGTATTTCTCTTCAAATCCTCCCGCCTGTACCCCGACTTTACTTCCCTCGATATTATGCTTCTCGCCTGTATCTCGATAATATCCTCTTCGATGCTAACGCTATTTTTAACGTTGATTCGTGGCGGCTACTCGTATCTTCGCTTATTTGTTTTGACAAGTATTTGCTTTGCTCAAAACTTCACTGTGGTGTGTACCCATTACTCTCGGAATACTTCCAAATGTTTTCTTCTCTCATAGAAAATGAATACGGAGGCTATTTTGCCCTTTTGATTTCCTCATTTTACCAAAATCAAAAGAACACCGGAAAAAGCTAAAACGCGCTGAAGAATTTGCTGTTTGAAACTACGACTTAATGAACCGAAACAATCATATCCAGAAATCTCCATTTATCTTACCCCTCCCCTTTTTTGTGCTTAATCCAATTTTTCTTTTTTAATTTCTTGGCTATTAGTGCTTTTCCTAATTACGTGAATGAGAAAGACTCAGTACAGAGAAAAATGGAGAAAACTGCCAGCTGTGTCAATGACGAAATGCAACGCACGGACAAGGCAACAGCTGATTAAAGCACATAAATTCGCGGCGTGAAAAGAACGTATGCATACACAGATATGCATATAAGGAAAAATGCTCGCCCCCTCACCTTATTGAGGCCCATAGACTTCGGAGGAATATCACCGCGGCGGCTGAATCCTTCCTCATCAGTAGGCAAATAAACGCTATTGCCGTGTTGGCCAGGCCTACGACCAAACGATAGGTAAAAACTTGCTGCCATCTTTACGTGAACAATTACTGAGGATTGAATGATTTTTGCGATAATTTATAGACAAAATCCAAAATATGCATAAATCACCGCATTCAATAAATTTTTTATGCGTATTTCGTCTCTGCTAGTTCGTGTCTGCTCATACGTGCGTGCGTGTATGCCTGTAGGTATGCACATGCTTACCTATGACAAGTAAATCCAGAGCTCATACTTGTCTTCGCGTGTATGTGTGTGTGCCTGCGTCTGCGCGAAATTATTTATAGGTGCATATATATGTGTATTTATGAATGTGTACATATCTGTGCATATGTGTGCGTGTCTACTGGATCAGTGGATTCGGAATGTACATAAAGAAATTGTATCTGGAGAAACAGCCCTCACTTAATTTACTGGAAAAAATCTTCAGATTTCAGAAATCTTCAAAATTTACTAAAAAGTTTCCAGGTTTCTTTGATTCTTATTCCAAACCTGAAACTTTTACAAATTCCGACTCAAACACTCAACGTGTCATCGATCTTGTTAGATACTTTTGCCTTGAGCTGACAGTCTTTTTAGGAGATGAAATAGAATGTTAGAATCGCCAGTACGCTGACCACCAGTAGATGCTGCATTAATCAGATCATCTGGAAAAGCGACCAATTTCAAAGCTGAACAACTTTATGGATTGCAAGCAGTCAAAATACTATGGTATCAAAGCATCTCCACTACGTGATATAAAAGGTATGCATTGAAAGTATCTGAAATGAAAATGACGGAGAATTAACAATATACCGCAATTGTCCAGAACATGCATTGGCTAAGTGCCTCTGTAAGAAAAAAAAAACACTGAGCTAATAATTCAATAAGGGGGCCAGACACTGACCATTATACGATGCAGCATTGGTCAGAGTAACTGGAAGTGGGCAGCAGCAGAGCTGGAGAACCAGGTATAAACTGCAGCTGACCAAAGTACCAAAATATCTTTAACATAATGTGATTTGTATGCGTTGAGAGCTTGAGTACTAGAGCAACTGCATGTCGTCGGCGTTCGTTGTCGCGCCATTGATGCAACTGGCAACTTCTCCATTTGTATGCACTTAAAACATTGAAATGGAAATGAGGTAACGGTG